GCATCTGCCATTTCTAATGGTGAGGTACATATTGGTACTGCTCCAAAAGAAGGTGCATTCTACTGAAATTATATTTTTTTTAGAATATAGGTTGCCAACGAGCACATAGTCCATCGATAGTAAGTGGATGTTATGGCCTATAGACATTAATATCTATCCTCGATTAAGTATAAAAATGCGTATACTTTCTCACTTGTCATCCCTGAAAACTAAGATGGAATGCCTCGTATCTAGTTTAAAAGGGTCTCCGGGTCTCTACACTCACCAAAGAAACACAGCAGGATAAAACTGAACCGAAAAATAAAACTGCAAGGCACCGGTAAAAACTAAAACTGGAAACTAAAACTACATTTCTTGTGTTTTTCCTCAACCTGAAATTGTATTTATTATAAATATATAAACTATACAAAGACTAAGAGGCCACTTGTAACAGCTATAATTCAAGAATTAATAAATTGGGAGAGAAACATTACGTTTGCTGCATTGAATACACCTTTCATGAATCATGATGTTTCCCTCTCGTATATTGCGAGATCCTTACAAACGTGACAGCTGGCCGCACCCTCAAAGTGTTTTATTATATCTTACATCGACATTTTTTTACAATACAATATATAAATTTATACGTTGTTCAATCTTAGTTCATCCGAAAATGGACTGTGTGGCCGTTGGTCGCCCATATTTCTATATAAAAAAGTGTTCCGTATTTGATGTCTTTATTTTCTTTTCATTAATGGTTCGGTATAATTTTATAACTAGAAATAGTACAATTTGAAAGGAAAGCATCTCGTCTTACGTATAACATTTCGAATAAATATTTTTTCTTACTGGCAAGCACTCTTTAACTTTGAAGCGAGCAACCCTTTTTTCAACTACACCCGCAACGACCACTAGTAACGGCAAGTTCCTCGTCAACGCAAGCATTAACGCTTTTGACGGTACCTTGTACGCGCGCGTTCCGTTACCAGCAATAGATAAGATCTCATTTCCCTGCTCCATCGAATACTAAGGCAGCTTTCCATACCTGACCTGTGGATAAAAGAACAATAGTGGACACATTCGGCCAGAAGATACATCACATCGGGCCGGTAAACGTTGGGCAGCTCAGAAATTACCCAGGTGAGTGTTTGCCAGGTCTTATGTACATAACATAATTGTTTTTGGACCTTGCGAGCCAAATCTTTCCTTTCAAATCGTGCTGTCTTAGTAAGAGTGTTATCTTTAGTTTCACACACACTTTAAATTTTAAAATTTAACGTACATACGTACTTTCACCGACGTGTCGTATAGGCCATCTTTGCAACGCAAAATGCCGGATCCAGCACGAGTTGAAGAATTTATGTGTGATGTTTCATGCGAGCAGGACATGTTCGAACGCGATATTATTTTAGATGATTTAAAAAGAACATTACAGTTCGCAACGACCGATGAACAAAAGTTCCGTTCGCGAACTAAAGATCTTACGGCACAACAAAGAAAGTTTAGTAAATTACAAACTAAAATAGAAAAATGTCTAATAAAGACAAAAATGTTCAACAAAGATGAACAAATTAAAATTCGTAACGATTTTGATGACGCATACTACGCTATTGTCACGCATCTGAGCAAATTAAAACAAGATGACGAACAAGTCAGGCGTATGAGTAGGTCTTTTAACTCCGAATCGTTTGCACAATCCCACAATCCAAAATTGTCTAAAATTCCCTTGCCCAGCTTCTCGGGTAATAGTACTGACTGGAATTCATTTTATGACTTATATATTTCACTCGTACATAACAATAATGCCTACACGGATGCGGAGAAATTCAGATATTTACTCCTTACTTTAAAAAATGAACCTTATAATTTAATTAAATCAATTCCCATTACCGACGCGAACTATTCTGTAGCCTTACAGGTATTAATTTCGCGTTATGAGAACAAAAGAATTATAGCTTCCACTCATCTCGACAGAATTCTCGATGTTGAACCTTGTTCAGAAAAATCAACAATCAGCTTACGTAATTTACTAAACATTTACCAAGAAAACATTAAAGCACTTGAAGTCATGAAATTTCCTACAAACGAATGGAGTTTTATCTTATTAACGATTTTACTGCGAAAAATTCCTTCATCTATCCGCAAACGTTTTGAGTTATCATTAAAATCACCATCAGAAATTCCTGATATCAACACACTAATATCCTTTTTGGAGCGGGAGTTGTCCGCAAGCGAAATTTCTCACCCTAATTTCGGTCAAATTACTAAACACGAGGGTCAATCAAAATCAAACGCACCATCAAGCAGCGGCGGTAGCCGCACGACGGCATCTCAGGGCGCACGCCGTATATTTATAGGAAACAACACATCACAGCCTGTTTCAGAGTCTGCATATAATATTCCAAACAAATTTCCGAGTGTTAAATATTTCCATTGTATATGCTGCGACGCCCAACATACACTAACTAAATGTCCGACGTTTTTAAACCTATCACCCAAGGAGCGCTATACATTTATTAGTGGTAAAAACGTTTGCTTTAATTGTTTACACGTTGGACACGATGTTAAGCAATGCAGATCAAATTTTATGTGTCGGACGTGCAACAAACATCATCATACGCTAATTCATTTCGATAATCAATCTTATGTAGCTGCTACCGAGACAGCTGATCCGCATGACAGCTCCGCTTCACTCCCTCCTACAGCGTACGATCCCGCCACTTCGAGCGATTCTCAGCTGGTTATGACGTCGATACATCACACGACTCGCGACGCTAGCGCGCAATCTAGTTCTGCTCCGTCAGTGCGAACGAGTACAGTGTTACTGTCAACAGCGCTCATCGATGTTTACGTAAATAATCATAAGCGATCGACCGTGCGTTGTCTCATAGATTCGGGAAGCCAGGTTTCCTTTATTAGTGAGGCGTGCGTACAACGTTTGGGCTTAGCGAGAAAACATGTCAATATTCCTCCTGTTTACGGAATCAATGAAAACAAACCGGTTTATCCAAAGGGTTTAGTTTCGTGCTATATTACACCAAAAAATAAAACACAACCTTCGGTACAAATCGAAGCCTTAATCTTACCGAAGCTTATTACTACACAAATGCCCTCTTGTCAATTACCTTATAAGGAATGGTCCCACATTAAAAATTTGACATTGGCTGATCCCGATTTCTTCACACCACAACCCGTAGAAATGTTACTTGGAGCGGACATACTTCCCCAAATTCTATTAAACAATACGGTGACTGGGCCTCCTGGTACACCCATAGCAATAAATAGTATTTTTGGATATTTACTGCTAGGCAAGTTAGATTTTAATATTCATTCACCCGTTTCATTCCCAGTTCAAGTGTTTTACAGCTCGGTTAACGATGAGTTTGATCTTCAACGCTTTTGGGAAATAGAATCAATTACAGAACAAAGGTCTCTCACTCCCGACGAAGTTTTGTGTGAGACAATTTTCGAAAACACGCATACGCGTAATGATACAGGACGATATGTAGTCGCTCTGCCTTTCAAGCCTGACGCCTTGCCCCTTGGTGAGTCACGTGACATTGCTATCGCTCGATTTCGCAGATTAGAATACAAGCTTGAACGCAATCCGCCACTGAAATATAGTTATCATGCATGCCTCCAGGAGTACTTGGACCTTGATCACATGGAACCTTGTGATGGCCTTTCACCTCAATCTGGTGGCGTCTATTATATTCCGCACCACTGCGTGGTGAAGGAATCTAGCGAAACAACAAAAATGCGAGTGGTCTACGATGCAGGTTGTAAGACTACCCATGGGAACTCCCTGAATGATGTTTTGTTTACAGGACCCAAACTCCATCTGGATATAGTCGACGTTCTACTGAAGTTTCGAATTCATTCTATTGCCTTCACAGCTGACATTAAACAGATGTACCGCAACATTTTAGTCCGTGACACAGATAGGGATTTTCAGCGTATCGTATGGCGCACTTCTCCTGACGAACCTATACGTGACTATCGCCTTCGTACTGTAACTTTCGGAGTTAGTTCCTCACCTTACCTCGCACTTCGTACAATGCGACAACTTGCGCTTGATGAAGCCACTCGTTTCCCACGTGCTTCTCAAGTCATAATAGGTGACATATTCGTAGATGATATAGTGTCAGGCGACAATACGGAGGCAGAAGCTCTTGCTCTACAACAGGAGTTAATAAGCATATGTCAGGCTGCCGGCTTTACTCTTCACAAGTGGCACAGTAACTCGCCTGCGTTACTCGCTGCGGTTCAGCCCACAAGTTCTCATGGTGAGCGGCACCATTACGTACCTTTTGCGGAGATGGAAAATGACATGAAAACTAAAGTACTTGGTCTTCAGTGGAACTCAAATTCAGATTCATTTACTTTCAGTGTTCAAATTACCTCTAACAAATGTACTAAGCGTTCGATTCTTTCAGAAATTGCTAGAATTTATGACCCACTTGGCCTTTTATCGCCAGTCACCATTTTTGCTAAGCATTTAATCCAGTTGTTGTGGATAGCACGTGTAGATTGGGACGAACACCCACCCCAAGATATAATAAATTCATGGGCCAGTTTTACTAACGAGCTTCCACTCTTATCGAAAGTTACTTTTCCGCGACACGTATTTACCCACACTCATTCTGTACAACTTCATGGGTTCTCAGATGCATCCGAGAAAGCGTATGCCGCATGCGTCTATCTTCGCGTGCGGGGAGACATGGGTGCAGTGGATACTTACCTTCTTTTAGCTAAAACACGCGTGGCGCCTACTAAACGTATGTCCATACCGCGCCTAGAGCTCATGGCGGCCCTATTATTATCTAGATTAATGAAAGCTACCTTAAATATTTATGGGAATTGCATACCTCGCGATCAGATATACGGATGGTCTGACTCTTCTGTAGTACTAGCGTGGTTGCGTTCTTCGCCACATGAGTGGAAAACCTTTGTTTCCAATCGCATAACAGAAATTATAAGTAATATTCCGTATTGCCGTTGGCGGCATGTTCCGTCTGCAGACAATCCGGCAGACGCGGCTTCACGCGGAATGCTTCCCGCCAATTTTTTACATCACAGCATATGGTTCCGCGGTCCTCACTTCTTAAAAAAGGATGAGGCTACTTGGCCTGTTTTCAAAGCTACTCAGACACAAGAAGAAAAACGTAACATTGCAATTGTTTCCAATCCATGCACTTCTTCTTCCACCAACGACGACGTAGAAATTATATCACGTTATTCATCCCTGGGTAAACTGGTACGTGTCACTGCTTTATTATTCCGTTTCTATAAAAAATGTAAGAAGGTTCAAACCCCTCTTTCTAAACATATTTCCGTAACCGAGTTCAATTTTACTTTGAATCGACTCATATTTCTTGTACAACAATCCGTTTTTCGTGATGACATTTACAACCTTTCTAAGGGAAAACTCCCATCAAATCAATTAAGACGCTTAAATCCCTTTATTGACTCAAACAATTTTGTTCGCGTAGGTGGGAGGATACATAAGTCCCTTTTACCATATGAATCAAAACACCAATTAATCTTACCTAAAAAACATCCGTTATCGATTCTAATTATTAATTACACTCACGTATCTCACTTGCATGCCGGTGCGCAAAGTACACAATACATACTTCTACAAAAATATTGGATCTTATCCGGGCGTGACGTCATACGGCAATGTATTCATCGCTGTGTCCGTTGTTTTCGAGCATGTCCCGTGCGCCAGCAGCCCAGCATGGGTCCATTGCCTGCCTCACGTTTGCGACCCGAACGACCCTTTCTTAAAACCGCCGTTGATTTCGCTGGTCCTTTTTACGTTCGAGCTAACAAAGTGCGAAATGCAAAAATAGTAAAATGTTACGTCTGTGTATTTGTATGTATGTGCGTTAAGGCCATACACCTCGAAATAGTTTCGGAACTTACAACAGAGGGTTTCTTAGCGGCACTACGTCGCTTCACGTCTCGCCGAGGTTTATGCAAGGATATTTATTCCGATTGCGGTAAGAATTTCATCGGCTGTGACAGGTACCTAAAGGACTTGTATGCCTTCCTACGGAATGACACTGTACAAGGCGCGCTCCAGAATAAGACTCTGGAAGAAGGAATAACATGGCATTTTCAGCCACCGTATGCAAGTCATTTTGGTGGCCTCTTTGAAGCGGGCGTCAAAAGTTTTAAACACCATTTTCATCGGGTAGTAGGTCCTCGTATCCTAACCTATGATGAGATGCATACCCTACTATGTCAAATAGAGGCAGTGCTAAACTCGCGTCCGCTATGCATATTGAGCTCCGATGCGCAGGATCCCCTCCCTCTAACTCCGTCTCACTTTCTGATAGGTGAACCGTTAACAGCTATCCCCGACGTTTCACTTGTGGATGAAAATCCGGGTAGATTATTCAGGTGGCGTTTGATACAACAATCGGTTCAACATTTCTGGAAAAAGTGGAGCTTAGAGTATTTGCATGAAATTCAACAACGTGGCAAATGGTTCACCAATCGTGGAAATCCGGTCCGTGAAGGCATGATTGTGGTAGTATGCGATGATAACCTTCCACCTTTACAATGGCGACTTGCGCGTGTACACCATCTGCATCCAGGTTCTGATGGGATTACGCGTGTTGTAACTCTCCAAATTGGGAAAACATATTTGAAGCGACCAGTTAATAAAATTTGTCCACTTCCTATAGAATAATAAACGTAAATAATGATTCATATTCCTTATTTTACTTTCTTTAGAAATAACTTAAATATTTATCCGTAATTTTAAGATATAGTTTGATACTTACTAGGTTTAACTTTATTTATACTCCTTACATTTTTTTTATCAAGGGCTAGTTTGTATTACAGATTTGTTTAGATTTAGTTAAAAGATACTGCGTACTTTTAAGGTGAGCGGCATGTTCCGTATTTGATGTCTTTATTTTCTTTTCATTAATGGTTCGGTATAATTTTATAACTAGAAATAGTACAATTTGAAAGGAAAGCATCTCGTCTTACGTATAACATTTCGAATAAATATTTTTTCTTACTGGCAAGCACTCTTTAACTTTGAAGCGAGCAACCCTTTTTTCAACTACACCCGCAACGACCACTAGTAACGGCAAGTTCCTCGTCAACGCAAGCATTAACGCTTTTGACGGTACCTTGTACGCGCGCGTTCCGTTACCAGCAATAGATAAGATCTCATTTCCCTGCTCCATCGAATACTAAGGCAGCTTTCCATACCTGACCTGTGGATAAAAGAACAATAGTGGACACATTCGGCCAGAAGATACATCACATCGGGCCGGTAAACGTTGGGCAGCTCAGAAATTACCCAGGTGAGTGTTTGCCAGGTCTTATGTACATAACAAAAAGTGAACAGTAAATTATAGTTATGAAGTAGATTATACAGATGGCCGCTTTATTTAGCAGACGTATTAGTTTGTATATTATTATAGATATTTTAAAGTGGGGTCCTTCACTGCTGCCCGTATGGATGAAGTAATTCGTTTTTTTTTTTAATAGACATCTACATCAATCCTCGTTTGCGAATAAAATGCAGGTACGTTGTCACTCCTGAGTACTAAGATGGACTGCCTCGTGTCCAGTGAAAAGGGTATCTGGTTCTATACACTCACAATAAGAAACACAGTAGCATTAAGCTGCTATTTTACGCTGGTATTCTATGAGAGCCTGTTCCATCCCCAGTCAAGCCGACCCATTAATACTAATATCATAATATAGCTGCGGCATGGTTCTACCACGTAAAATCTACAAGGGTCTCAGGACCATGTTTGGGGGCATTCTTTGTTGGAGGCTTATGCTCAGCTGCTGAACTGATTGGCTGAAATGACGTTTATGATGAATGTGGTGAATGATAGTAGGTGTTAGTGCGCTTTTACTGCTAGAAGTTTATGTCGATTGGTACCACACTCTATTTCCAGCGTCATACTGTAATTCTTCTACGTTGACTTCAAAGTGAAAAGGTAGAGCGTCAGAATAATTTAATGCCGTAAACAATTTCACCTTAATCTATATTGATAATTGATAATAATATAGCTGCAACATTGCTCTACCACTAGTATTAATTTTTTTTAATTCTCGATTTAATTTTTTTTTTTTGTTAATGGTTAATCTTGTAGTCTAAGTAACTTACTACTATTTGGTATCTGCGTACGCCTTCAGGGATTACAGATTTGAAGCTATGTTTATATGTATTTATTAGATGGTAGAACTCACTTCCTGCCAAGGAATCAATTCGAGTTAGTATCTGTTTTAATATATCATAGCAGTGCTGACACTGCTGAGTTGCGATCTAAAAAGTAACGAAAGACAGAATATACATATGTAGGTCTAGTGATCCGCTCCGGCACACGTTATTACTATATGGTGTAATTATTTATATTATAATCTAAACAATTTAGGGACCCATTCAAACACGCACATAAAAAATTATCAAAATCGGTCATGCTGTTTCTGAGTTTTAGCGAGACTAACGGACAGCAATTGATTTTTATGTATAGATATAACACATTCCATCTTGGTCCTCAGCGATAGCAACGCATCTGTAACCCTCTTTGTTTAAAGTTATATGCACATGCAAATGGACTGTATAGCCCACTCAACGAAGACCAAAAACTGCCAAATAGGGGAAATAATTCGTGTAAAAGCGATTTTTGGCATAGTTGTAGGGAATGGTGTCTTAAACAACATACTCAAAGTACTGATGAATGGGGGTGAAGCTAACGGGTAGGGGGGGGTGTAAAGGTCCCTTTTTTAAGTTTTTCTTAAATAACTCGTAAACGGTGGCTCATAGCAAAAAAATTTCTTCTACTCAAGTAATCTAAATAAAATTTTATACAAAAAAGATTCTATACACTTTTTCGCTGGGATCAATATTTAACGAGATATTAAAGAAGAAAAGTTAATTATGATCAATTCTCGCGATTTAACGTCGTAGTAAAGTGCGCGCCACAGACTGTGCGCGCCGCCAGTGAAGTGGTTGTGTGTACGCCGAGTTTCGCGCCAAAATCGGTCAGAGGTTAAATCGCGTCGCGAGTTGTGATTTTTTTTCTACGTGGCACTACAAAATGTCGGAGAAGTGTTTAATTTGTGATAATGTAGTCGAAATGGACTTGTGTAAAGTCGGAAGTAAAGGGATAAGTGGGATAATAAAGGCAAGCGCGTTAAGAAAAGATGGGAAAGAAACATGTTTAAGGAATAAGATGAGTGGTGTTGTTCACAATACTTGCAGAAGACAATACGTTAGAAGTGACTCAATAAAAAGGTTTTTGAGAGAACAAGCTCTTTCAGAGCAACCATCAACATCACGTGGTGTCTCTTCTTTGCGTTCAGGACAAAGTCAGTTTGATTTTAAAACAAAGTGTTTTTTTTGCACAGAAGAGCATGACGAGGAGGCGGAGAGAAAAAAACCTTATTCTAAGCGTCGAACCATTATCAAAGTTCGTACGACTACGTTTCACAATTCCGTGCTTCTTCGTGGGCAGGAAAGAAACGATGAGTGGGGTAACGACGTAGTAAGACGTATCTGCACTGTTGGGGATCTACATGCAGTAGATGCTATATATCACGTGGATTGTTACAAAAAATTCACCCTTGCCACTCTACCTTCAAAAAGAAAAGCTGGGCGCCCCATTGATGAAGGGATTTCAGAAGCAATGAACGAAATCTACGATTACATTGAAAAAAATGATAACTGTCAATTTTCTATGGACGATTTGTTGGGACAGATTACGGGAGAACCACCAACTGTGAAAACCATCAAAGCCAGAATGAAGGAAAAATATGGGGACCAAATTGTTTTCAGTACAACTCGCACCAAACAAACAGTCGTCTGCTTTCATGCAACTGGTGAAAAAATTTTAAACGACGCGTGGTACACGTCAAGGTGTACTAATGAACAGGCAGAAAATGAAAGAATTGTACGAAAAGCCGCTGAGATTATCTTGAAAGATATTGAATCTATGGCTTACGACAACAGTGCCTATTTTCCTTTAACTAGCTTCTGCAGGGAGGCTGAAGAATTGATACCTCAAACTCTCGCAGTTTTCACAGACTGCCTTGCAAAGAAAAAAAGGTCACAAGAGACTGTGAAAAAAAAAATGACAACTATAGCTCATACACTTATTGCTGCTATTCGCCCTAGATGTTTCATATCCCCTATTTTGTCCAGCATCGCTCTGCTTATATACCGAAAATATGGATCCAAGAATTTGGTGGACCTTCTGTCGAAGTTGGGATTGAGTGCCTCTTATTACGAGGCTCAGCGGCTAGAGCTCTCCACCATCCACCATACGGAAGAGCCTATTCCAATTGGAACTTTTATTCAGTTCGTCTTTGACAATGCTGACTTCAATGTATCCACTCTCGATGGCCGGAATACCTTCCACAGCATGGGAGGTATCAAATGTATTACACCGGCCAACACTCTTCATGCATCCACAAATGTCAAAAGGTTGAATTCTGCTCCTCCCCAGGAAGAAGTGGGCCAGCTGGGAGTTCTGGAGGTGCATACATTAGAGGGTAGGGGAACCAACGCATTACAGCAAATGATCATAGAAGACTTGAGCTTTCTGAAGCCCATCCCTTCTGACATATTCACACCCACTATTCAAGATCTCTTGTGGATGAGTGGTAAGTGGCTCCAGGAGGTGGAACCTACTTTGGAGGTGCCTAACATTCCAGAATGGAAAGGTTTTATGCAATTGACAAGTAAATTAATTAACAAAGAAACAACTTCGGTAACTTTTCTTCCATTTATCAATTCTCCACCAAATGAGTACAGCACTATACGCACAGCCTTACAGTATGCTTTAAAAAAGAGTCAGGAGGTAGGAGTCACCGTTTGTTTCGTAACTTTCGACCAGCCTTTGTATTTAAAGGCCAGGGAAATCAGCTTTGGGAGCATTATGGTGAGACTTGGTGGGTTTCACTTACTGATGTCCTTTTTGGGTTGCATTGGCCACACAATGGCTGGATCAGGACTGAAAGATGTATTATGCCAAATTTTTGCTCCTAATTCAGTTGACAAGATGTTAACAGGACATGCCTACAGCCGAGCCGTTCGAGGACATTTGCTTGTTCAGCTTGTTTTAGCTCATATTATTCTGGATGGAGCCAATGTATCAGAAGAAGAGAAGAAGGACATCTCGACTATGTTGATCAACATGGAAGAATTTACTCCAGATAAAGTTAAAGAGAATGCTTCCTTGATGTCAACTTTGAAAAAATTTCAGTACCATCTCGAGACCCTTAAAGAGAATGGGCCTACCGCTGCTTTGTGGGTGCAGTATTTCAATATGGTTACACTCATGAAGAAGTACATTAATTTTGAGCGTTGTGGTGATTGGGACGGCCACTTGGCGTGTGTACAACAGATAATCCCATTCTTCCATGCAAGTGGACACTTCCAATACGCGAAATGTGCCCATATCTACGTGCAAGACATGATGCAACTGAAGAACAGCCATCCCCAAACGTACAAGGAATTTGCAGAAAAAGGCTTCTTCACCATTAATCGCACAGGCACACCTTGGGCAGGAGTTTGGTCGGATATGGTAATAGAGCAAACTCTCATGCGCTCCATGAAAAGTTCAGGTGGCCTGACGCGAGGAAGAGGAATTACTGATTCTGTATTGGCCAAATGGGTTTGCGGATCACCGGGATGCACCGCCATCTGCACTTCATTGG